ACTGTGTAAAAGTGTACATGGTTAACCAATGAGTCCAGGCTCAGTGGTTAATGTGTGCAATTGCACATAGCACTTCCCACCTCTCCCCCGTAGCTGCTGCTTCTGTATCAGAGGCAGCGGTGCAGAGGGCGGGGGCGGCGGTGGTGGTGGTGGGAGGGGAGGGGGATCATTGGCTCCCAAGTGCCTGCTCCTGCCTCTTTCTTTGCCCCCCATCTCAGAGACAGCTGCGTGGGGGGTATGCAGGTGATTCCACAAGAGCTGGTACTCAGGGGAGCCAGCTTCAAAGCCTAGGGAGTCTCTCTCTCATCCTGAGTCGGTGGAGGGGCTCTCACTTATTTGTACTGCAGAACCCCCTGACAGTCCCAGTCATGGGGGCAGGCCTAGAACTAGTCACTGTCTAACTGAACAGTTTTCCCGTCAGAAAATGCTCACCTTATGGAATCAAAACATTTTGTTGCTTGGATCCCTGGTGGCCCACTGTGTAGACAGTTTACTGAAGTAGCAGTCGGGTGCACCTGAAAAGTTCTCCCAAAATAAGCTTGAGATTTTTTTCCTTTGAAAACTGAATATTTGACTCTCCCAATTCAGTATGAAGTTTTTCAAAAACTTAAATTTTCACACACAGATTGTGTTTTCTGACCAATTCTATCCACCACCTTATTCTGTAAAGTGCCGTATGAACAAAAAGCCCCTACCCTTTCAAGCTGATACTCGAATTTGTTTCTAAACATTTTAGTGTAATTTTCTAAAACAAGGAGTCCTGTGACATTTTAAAGACGTGACCAATTGATTTGGACATAAGCTTTCATGGGCAGAGATGTGCTTTGTCAGATGCAGACTAACATAACTACTACTCTGATACCTGTCATAGTAACTGCTGTTACTTTAATAGCTCCCCCGAATGCCTTCCACAGCTTATAAGGGGCTTCTCCATTGCAAAGCTTCTACCAATCCACTTACCTACAACTTTGAGACTTAATAAACTCATGGGCTGTTACTTGTTTGAAAATCCCCAAATCAAAATTACCTTTCTCCCTGAGAGCCCACCAAAACCATCACACTCAAGCAAGACTGTGAGCCCAGTAACTGCCTTTTGAAGGTGTGTTTTTTGAATCTGGTACTTACACAGTGGGGAAGGGAGCCCTCGAGCTTGAAGTGATTATGGTCAGTAAGTCCATCGGTTCACTTGGTCACAGCCAAGAAAACTCAAGGTAAGTGAGTGTTTTTCCCCTAAATATTAGCCTGCTCCCACAGAATAGGGAAGGTTCTGACTGCAGCCACGAGTGTAAATCAGGCATGACTGACATTGTGAGAATCAGCTGTCATGGATTCAGTTCTCCTAACTGAAATGAAAGAGTTGCAGAAATAAGTGATTCACAGGTGTGTAAGCACAGGAGGTGACAAATGTCAAGATGCTACCTTTATTTTACAAAAACAATCAGAATCACACAATGTAACTAGAATATAAATCTCATAAAACTGACTTGTGTGAAAAATGGGGAGGGGACCTTGAATAAAAGAGAGAAAGATGTTACCTTACAGCCTACCCCCATTGTTTCCATTACCATATTCTTGTAAGTGTGGTCACACAGACCAATGGAAAGCCACAGCTGAGCTGGATTAGAGAAACAAAACCTTTTAGTGCTTCAGAGGAATTGGGGAATGCAGGGATGTCCCAAAGAAACTAGGTGGGTAAAGTAATATATTTTATTGGACCAACTTGTAGATTCCCTCTCCCATCTTGTGGTGTTAACAGTCGGGCACCAACACTACTAACAAAGGTGGGGATATGGCCTAACCAGAAAGAGGTCTAATTGTAACACATACCCTGAGCTTGACCATATTCTTGTTTTCCATAATTTTGATCAAGATTAGTCTACGCTTTGGTCAGGCAGTTTACATTATGAACTATATTATAATAATGTAGCACAGTCAAACCCTCAAGGAATGCCAGAACTAAGGTTGCTTTGGCAATTTTAATTTAGCTCCTTGGTGCCTGTGCATTGACACCCCCTTCCCCACTCTAAATACGTGATCACATGCTATGTTTTCCCCAGGCTGCTTGCCTCATTCAGGTATAAAACTGATCCGTGCTCAGGGAATGAGCAGCTATTAAATATTTTGCGTTCTCCCCATCCTGCAATGTGTGGTCTCATTGATTGTGCGCTATTCAAACCCTGCTACGCAATTATTTTTTGTTCTCAAGGATGTTTCTCTGGCGGCAGTGAAGATGCAATTGTATAGACCAGATCTGAATCTGGCTCCATTTCTTCAAAAGACTGAGTTTACTAGAGTGGAAGGACAGATGATTGTTACTTATGCTAGAACACCCACATCCTGTAAGATTCACTGAAGGAGTTTATTCTGCCTCAATTTACCCACCCCACATTAGGAAAATCATGGTTGAGTTGGGCACAAAGTCAGTTCAGCATCTGGCCCAGTAAACATATATATGGTGGTGTGGGGAGGGAAGAGGAGCTCAGACTTTGGGACAAACACTGCCACCATTAGTCGTGCTAGTAGATTTACAGGGCCAGATTTTGTCCTATAATGAAGAGCACAATCCAGTGACTTCAGTGGCATTGTATGGCATGAGAAAGAGGGCAAAATTTGTTTCATTGTCATCAGCTAGGGGGCAGGAAAACAAAACTTGGCCCTTCAGTGGCTAGGTGACAAGCCCAGATTAGGCAATTGGAGGGTTGCCTCTGGAATTCTTATTTGCACACTGACACATGTTCTTTTTCAAGACCTTTCCCAGGGTGTGTCGTTCATATGCCAGCAGAAATAGGTTTAAATGATACAACAGGTGCTAGAGGTGGGTGTTGTTCTTCCATTGCAAAGTGTCACTGCACCTGTACGAGAGGAAACAAGTGAGCAGAGTTACCTTCTTGCCTTCTATAAACCTGCTGTACTTGGCAATCCTTTTGTCTTTGAGTCATTTCCCCTATTTAACCCTTGGAAGGCTCTCAGTGGAGAAGCAGGCATAAATTCCTAGTTATGAAGTGCTACCAATGTGCTCAGAGCAGCTTTCTACACTAAACGGTTTGCTATGCTGTAGCGGTTTGGAGCACAATCTCCCTGGCTACCTTTCTCCAGAGGTCAGTGCGTGGTCTGAGGTAGGCAGACACAATCTCAGACTTGCACAGTCTATTTAACTACAAAAACACTAAGAATGAAGGCTTCCATCCCATTCCCATTGACATTGTGCTGGTCCCGGGGGGGGAGGGGGGAGAGATTACAACAAAATAATCTGCATGTACAGAATCATAGACTTGTAGGACAGGAAGGGGCCTCAAGATGTCACCAAGTCCAGCCCCTCTGCACTGTCAAAGGATAAAGTCAACCTAGACCGTCTCATGGGAGGTTTGTCCAACTAATGATAGCAACTCCACAACCTTCCTGGGAAGCTGAAATGGCTAATTTTCTTAGCAGCCAGAGAGTGGCTAGGGAGGCACATTTGGGAGTAACTGCTGTATTTTCTCTTCTAATGAGTTCATTGTTTCCCCCTCCGCCTATTAGCCACAGCCTCTGTATTCTCCAACAGGCATTCTTTGCTACTCAGACTACGCCACAAAGCTGACGTGTTACAGACCACAAGGGTAGCTGAACAGAGCTGAGCTACGTGCCGACACACATCGGCTGTGTCTAGACTGGCAAGTTTTTCCACAAAATCATCCACAAAAACTTGCCAGCTGTCTGGCCACTTGAATTTCCGCAAGAACACTGACGATCTCATGTAAGATCGTCAGTGTTCTTGCGGAAATACTGTGCTGCTCCCGTTCGGGCAAAAGTCCTCTTGCGCAATTCATTTGTGCAAGAGGGCCAGTGTAAACAGCACTGTGCTGTTTTCCGCAAAAAAGCCCCGATCGCGAAAATGACGATCGGGGCTTTTTTGCGGAAAACCGCATCTAGATTGGCCATGGACACTTTTCCACAAAAAGTGCTTTTGCGGAAAAGCATCCTGCCAATCTAGACGTACTTTTCCGAAAATGCTTTTAACGGAAAACTTTTCTGTTAAAAGCATTTTTGGAAAATCATGCCAGTGTAGACGTAGCCATCATGTTCAGCACTGTTTGCCATGCTGCTTTGAGCTGACCTTACGTGCTAACCAGCTGCTTCCATCAACGTGAGATCCCCTGCACTGAGGCCTTTACACAGACGGCCTTCTGGAAGGCGGGTAACCGTCAACTGTAGGGTTTGAAGCCATTCTCTACAACAGTGTTTCTCAACCTATTTTTATGAAGTACCCCCTGTACCTACAGTTTTCAGAGACACCTTTTTTTTTTCTACCATTGCAACTCATTTGTTTAAACAACTTAATTGTAGCCAGGCAGGTGATGAAATGTTTGGGTGTAAAAAGTACAAAAATAATAAAGCGCTGTAAAACTTAAAACAAAAATTCAGTTTTCTCCCAATTTCAGTTGTGTTGATGTACCCTCCAGACTTCTCTCTAGTACCCCTAAGGGTACTTGTACCATTGGGTGAGAAACACTGCTCTATAATGACCTTTGCCCTTGACAGAGTCACTCACGGCTTTAATTCTGGAGCAAATTTGTAACTTTGCCAAGCTGGGAGTTTGGAGAGGGTATTACACAGGGCTGGTGGGGTAGGGGAGTTATCCCTAGCAGTAAATTCTGAGGTATTAAATAGTTAAGTATTTCTTACCTTGCTTTGCAGCCTTTTTCTCCTCTTCCTTTTTCCTCTCTTCTTCCAGCACTTTCATTTTTGCATCATATTCGTCTGCCAGAGCCTTCCATTCCTTTCTGTTGTTCAGCAGTCCGTCATACATCGGCTGAATTTCCTCGTGGAAACGTGAAAATTCCTGCACCAAGCACACCCATAAAACCATGCAACAGTGACTTAGCTCCTCCACAATATCCATGCCACAAGGGTGCACACCCCTCTGGCTAGTTCAGACTGGGAAAGGGTTCATTCCCTGAGGCAGGGTGCCAGGCACAGGTCCTGTCCCGGACTGGAGAGCCAGCTAATTAGAGGGAGTGTTTACACCTGGGTTCAGAGCAGATAAGCAGGGAGAAGGAAGCAGTTTGCAGCTTGTTGGAGGAGAGGCTCCTAGACTGAGTTACTTCCCCAGAAAACCTGCCTAAGGAATCGCTGGTGGGTAGCTTAGTACTGCCAGGCCTGTGCTGTAGCCTCCTTCACTGCAGAAGTCCCCTCTTCCCCAGTGTGGGTGCGTCAGGGCTGGAGCTCAGAGCCTCCCAGATAGCCCCTTCCCGGTCTCTCATGGGGAGAAGCGGGTCTGGATGTTGCCCCCATGCCCTGTGGTAGGGCTGACAACACTATACTTCTGAAATACAGGCCTGACCGCTCATGTCCTCAGGCTCGACTTCTCCCCATCTCTTCCTGGGGCCTGCTGTCTCTGCAGCCCCAGGCACTGGGCCATGAGGTAGGCCGCCATTGCTCATCTAACCTCCCTCAGCACTGCGCCCTGCTGGGGTAGGGGGCTTGGCAGAAGGGGAGTGGACTGGAGAAAAACAGCTGCTGGAGGAGACTTTGCTGCAGCCAGCAGAGGTGGCACTGCAGATTTCAATGAGGGTGGGCAAAGTCTGAGGCCAGCTCAGTGAGGGCTGGGCTCCGTTGGAGTGGCCTGGTGACCCCATGTATCTGGTCACATTGCCAATGTGTGGCACATTGCACAGTGCTAGGGCACACTCCAGCCTTTGTGACACTGAAAGGCTGAGCTGCCCTGGAAGAGACATGGCATAAAAGACATCTTAGCACTGGGCAAGCGATTTTCATGGAAACAGGGGATGTGCCTTTAATACAGGATTCTTGGATCCCTGGGCTTCTGAGGGCAGAGGAGCCTGCTACTGAGGCGCTCTGGGAGGCAGAAAGGCAGATGCTCCAGGCCAGGAGCAGGAACCAAATGTCCTATGAAGAGGTACGGGGGCTGGACTGACTTGGGGAGGGCGGTATTGTAATGTGAACTGGGGACCCCTTTGTGTTTGCATGGAGACTTAGCATTGCTGTTTGAACGGACAGAGGTGTGGGTATTTTAGGAGGCAGAGAGGGGCCAATAGGGAAAAGAGGTTTCTCTCTCTCCTATTTAACACCTGCTCTTCTCCTGGCATTTCATCTCCCTACAGCAGGGGCGGGGAACTTTTTTTGGGCCAGGGGCCGCTGAGCCACACAAAAATCAGTTGGGGGCCGCACACAAGTGAGAAGCAAAAAAACCCCCAAACCCTCCCTGACGTGGTCCCTGACTGAGAAGGAGAAAGACACTCCCCACATTCCCC